GGGGTCCCTTCTGACTCAGGACATTCTATGATTCTATGATCAGCCTAGAAAGCAAGGAAACACCTCATTCCCTGCATGTAAAATGGAAAAGACAAACCAAAGCTAACCTTGACTTTCATGTGTCTTTTTTTTTTTTTTTTGTCTTTTCTTCTGCACTAAATTAGCAGGGACAAACTGAGAGAATCTTCCCAGCTGTTGGTGAGATGAAGCATCAGTCCTGGCAGGCTATGATATACAAATGTGCAGTAGGAGAAAACAAAGCAACAGGAATAGTGTCAGGGAGGGAGACTTTTTTAAAACTGATTTTTATTTGCTTTCATTTCTGGTTCTGTCTCCCCTGCGATGAAGACACAAATAGTGTGTAGAGTATGTATTTTTTTTATACTGCTCTACTGCTGCAATGTTTTTTGAGCTTGAATATTTAATTATATGTAGTAGTACTTGTAACAAAATTTGGGGCTTCTTGAATATGATGCTGTACAACGATGGCAAAGCTGTCCCTGCCTTCATAAACTTGCAACTTACATGGAGGAAGCAAAGATTTTTAAGAGGAAACAAAACTAATAGGGCCAGCCAACTGGACTGGAGTCCCACAGCCTGTCAGGAGTAAAGCCGGGAATAGAAACACATCGGTGAAATCCCAAAGAGGCTAGTGCCCACACTGCTGTTCATGCAGGAGGATATCCTCAGGCTATCCTGTATCTTCCTGTCCTCAGGAAATAATTCAGACAGGATGAGCACTCAAAACAACTCCGTGAACGCTTGGAGGGTGGAGCACCCCTCTTAAAATCCCCTGGCTTCTCACTAGTAGAACAACTGACTTGATTTCAAATGGAATATCCAAGTTGGGGAAAATAAAGCTATTGCCTAGAGGATCAAAATTTGAGACATGACAGAAACGCTTTCAGACACTTGCAACATTGCTAGAAACTCAAAGCATAAAACCATCAGGTGCTGATTTACCACCTTGAATGACATTAAATGCTTTTGGTTAGAAGCTACTCTGTGAATTAGTCTTTTTTTTGGTAAAGGCTTGGGTTTGCTGTCCTGTCTCTGTAGTCACTAATGACCTTAAGATGCTGCTGAGAAGGAAGTAGGTTTTAGCCCACATGTCCAGTTTTTTCGGTGTACTTCGCACAGTGCCATAGTTCCTGAATACTTCCAGGAGTATATTAAGCAAACTAACATCTGTAGAATAACTAACATCTGTTGTGCTGTTTTTTGTTTCCTCCCTAGGGGAGATGTGTGGGCAGAGTGGCTTGTTTTATTTTAGAAGGACTTCCAAAACAACAAAAAAGCACATTTAAAAAAAACCAACCTGAAACAAGTCATCCCTGAGAGCTCAACAAAAGCATGTGATACATGTGCACATATAAGGTAAAGTAAATGTACCGTGTGTTTCAAGCGGAAGGCAGCAAGGTGGGTTTTGGCCCTTCCTTCCAATGGGAGTTTGCTCAGTGGACCAGTTTGGAGAAGGCTCCTTGTCCTGAGCCAGTGAGCTGCACTTCACGGTAGAAAGTTTTTCTCTTGAGCTAAAGGATCAAAGCTGCTGACTTGAGCCTTCAGTCTGGAGCTCTCGTCAGCCTCTTGGGCACAGTGTCTCATGCTGCCTGCTGCTGTTTTTAATCAAACTCAGTGAGTGCAGTTCTCAGCAGCCATGCTTTGGGCAGTGGCTGCAGTCTTCCATCTGAAGCTGGCTGCCTCTTAAGCAATCTGTCGTGTGCATGTTTATATTTTTCCCAAATGCTTTGTGAGTCTTTGGGCTCAAAAAAGTGCAGGAAAATACAAGGTGATTCCTATTTTTAATCAAGTGGAACTGAAATTTTGTTGCTTGCTTTCTTTGCCTTACAGCTGTAGCTCTCCAAAGTATCCCATCCTGCCTACCTCAGCTGACAAAAGCTTCCCTTAAACTTATGAATAATTTATTTCTTTCAGTACTCCTTTTTTCTATTTTTTTATCCTTCCTTTTATTAGTATCAGAATGACTGTTTCTGTGTCAGTGTTTTATGTACGTCCTACTTTCATTTGTAAAACGTTGCTGTTGTACTGCTGCTGATGACTGTATTCTTATTTCTAACCAAATTTGCTAGGTAGTCCTGTTTACAGAAGCTTAAAACTTCAGGCTGTGTAGCTGGTTTGGATTAATCCTAGAGTAGTTTAACTTTGGAAGGGAACTCTGCATGTCATCTGGTCCAACCTCCCACCCAAAGCAGGGCCAGTTTCAAAGTTGTATTAGGTTGCTCAGGACCTTGTACTTACTGCTGACATCCTGCAAATAATTTTAACTATGAAAATTGTAATTATGAAAGCTTCATATATGCTAGTACACATTTACCACTGTTACTTTTAACCAACAGTTAAGTTTGTAAATGTGTACTAAACGGCTTTTTTCTTTTGCTGTTGTGGTCTGTTCTAATTAAGTCTGGTTGCAAAAGTCATTGCGTTTGTGTTACTCCTTTTGCGTAAGCGTGGAAAAGAAATTTTCTGGTTCAACTTTTTAATGCAATCTGACTTCGGAAAAAAAAGCTAAAAAAAAAATAGCAGGGTGGTTTGAGTTGTAAAGTATACTTCACACAGTTTAGGGAGTTTATTACTTGTTTGCGTACCTGTTCAACAGAGGATGGTGAAAGAAAGCGCTTGTTGGGTGAGAAGCAGCAGCTCCCATGTGCAGCCCTGCGTGTTCCTGCAGCACAGTTTGGCTACGCGACAGCTCCATCTGCTGTTCTTGAACTACGGCTTTCCCTTTGTGTGCAAACCTTTCACTTCACAATTTTATATTGGTTCTTGTGTTTCTTCCCTCTGACTTTGTCCATTTTCAAACAGTTTTAACTCTTATGAGGAGTTACTCCTTGGGACACCTCCAAACTGTGTTTTGATGTTCTGGATTCAGAATTTCTTGAATTTCTTGGCAAGAACCAGCAGTTGTGACATCTCTCTGTCTGCTTTACAAACATTAGATTTTCTTTTTTAGTCGTGTTATCTGTCTTACCCTTGCAAAGACAAGTTACTACAAGATATGAAGCCCCATCATCTAGCAATAAAGGAGTTCCTGCTCTTCAGTTGAGTAATAGGTACTTGTGGGGTTTTTTTTTTTCCTGCAGAAGTCTGGACTTGTGTCTGTGCTGCCTGGGATCTTACACATGTCCATGGTTTGTGTTATGGGTATGATGAACAGAGGCAATTTAGCTGCTGTGAGGCTATCAAAATCTTACAGATTGAGGGAAGAATGGGAAAGAAGAATGTATCTGATGGCAGTAAGTGAGTCTACAGCGTGGCTCAGAATTGAGATGGAGAATCATGACACTTTGATCATTGTGGTTACTAAAACCGGCAAAATAAATCTTAAATTCCTGTACTTTTTTCCCTCTTGGTATTGAGAGGCAGACTCGCTAGAGCACTGGGATTTTGGGGTTTGTTTTATGGGAGTAGACTGACAGATCACATCACAAGGAAACCATAGTAAATCGCATCTCTCAAGAAAATTAGACATCATTTGGGAAAATATATTCATATCGTAATATTACTACCTAATTTTTCAGCTCCTGTGGAATAAGAACAGTAAGATGGGCTTTAGAATTTGTTCTGCACAATACCCCACTGAATAACCTCAGCCTAGTGCCAAAAGGATGCCTATTCATTAAATTATTCTGATTTTTTCTTTTTTTTTTTTCTTCCCTTCCACTGTATGTTTTTTGTCTGTTGCATATTAAGCTGCCTGCACTGAGAAGATTTTGGTACGTATCTTTGTAGTTCAGGAAAGCTGAATACTTTTTGTGGTGTAGTCTTGTAGTTGGCATTGTGGCTTCAGGCAGGAAGGATGCAGAATCAAGTTTTAAAGCTAAGTGTTTAATTTCAGATAATTCCATAAAAGGCAGACAGGACACATGAGGCTGTTTTTTCCTATCTGTGGCTAGCAGCCTAGCCAGAGAAGTTAAATAGAAAAAGATACTTCTCCCCTTTACAAACAGAACTGGAACAGAAGACGTATCAGTTGTACTTTCTAATAGTGTTGGAGTTCGTTAAACTATACTGTGATTTTTATTAGATATGCCTTATCTAATCCTTCTCTTTAATTGTCCCAAGGTCTTATGACCAAACACTTTCAGTTGCTGACCTTGTTCTGCCTTTCTACATCTAATCACTCTTGATTACACTTGATGTAGAAAGTGAAACTGAAGTTAATAACTGTGCAAATGAAAAAGGAGCAGGTGAGTTGTAAAATAAGTGTCAAATAAGCCCAGCGTATGTTGTCAGCACTTGAATTCAGTGAAAGATCCCTTAAATATGCACGTGATAACATCACCACTTACTTACTCATAAGCAGTAAATGGTCCCACTAAGCAAAACTGGAGGACATAGATAAATTAGTTTTATTTGGGTCTGGAAGCAGTCACTGAAGTTAACTTATTCAGGGTGAAGACCTTGTCTCTTATGTCTGTCAAGACCGTGCACAGACCTTCAGCTGCTCCTGCTGCTCTGCTAGCAGTGAGCTGCAACACAGCTGTCCTCTCACTTCAGTCCAAGAGTGAGTAAGCTTTGAGAGAGTTTGGAAATTACACTTTGCAGCGGATTGTAGATCTCAAATAAGTTTCTGCGTTCTCTTCGACCGAAAGCAAATATAAGTACGTGGTGTGGAGTAGCTGGATCCTGCAGGTCAAGAGTTAGGCTTTCCTGAGCTGCCTGGAGGAATCTGCCTAGCAGTTAGGTCACTATGTTAGCAGCGAGTGCTTGGATTTGTGTGTGATTTGCTGCTTTTTAACATTAACTTGCAGATGTTCTCAAAACAGGAAATGTGAAAGGTTGGTTCCTGGAGCAGCTGAGAGATTTGGCAGAGTTGTTGGTGTAAAGGCAGATGGGTGAGAAGAGATGCTCAAGCCAGCAGATGTCAGGCTGTTACCACCAGCAAGAAACAATACGAAGGGAAAAGATGATGCTTTGTGCTGATGGAAGTCAAAATTGGGAAACTACAGGTCATCTTCAACTGATGAATAAAAGTAGTGATGATTTGTGAATACATGGTGACTAAGCAGCATAGCTCTTCTGGAGTAGTTTTGTGGTTTTGTTTGGCTGGTTTTTTTTTTTAATTTTTCATTGTAAAAGCCTGTGCGGGTATTCCAGAATAAGATTATCCAGAATAAGATTATGCCCATGCAGAGAGTTACCTTGTAAAAGCAAATGATAAACTGTCCAGTATGGATAAATGCTTGGGGAAGGGTGAAAGGGGATAGTGCATACAAAGCAGCGCGACTAAAAGCTGAAAAACTGACCTTGAGAATAGAAACTAAATTTCTAATGAGGGACTAAAGCTAACACTGTGGGGATTGGGTTAAGTGGTATGTACAGGCTTGCAATAGTTATAGGGCAGTGAAAAAATTGGGGAGGGTATGTGAATTAGTGAAAATTGCAAGGAAAGAAGGAGAAACATTCCATAAAACTATCTGAAAAATATGTCAATAGCACAAGAAGTATGGAGAATGAGTATTTTCTAAGAATTAAAAAAAAAAAAAAAACCAAAACCACTTTCTAACAAAAATCTGTTTAAATTTCAGTCTTATGCCAAAAGGGGGAGGGAAGGAAGAGGTGCAGTTTTTCCTTTAGTTGATTTTTTAATAAATGATAAGGCTAGTAAGGAATTTTCCGAAGACTCAAAGCATTGCAGGACAATGACTCTTTTTACTTGTTGATACAGTTTTATTAGATCAGATGCTTCGTGACCCCTCAGCAGATTTGTCTGATTTCCTAAATATATTTATAATATCTCATGTTAAAATGATACTAGCATGGATTTCTTTTTTTACAGCTGAAAATAATTTCTCCTTCAGTGTATACATCTGTAATTTTGGCTGGTTTCCTTTGTAAAGCAGAAGAATTCTGATGTATTAGGAATCTAAGAATATAAATTAATTCAATGTCATATTTTTTCTCAGTAAAACTTGCTTGCTTTTTTTATTTTTCAATGGCAAAGTGACTGTCAGCATTTGCAGTGGACTCCATGTTCAGTTTTACCTTTCTGAACATGTTGTTGGTTTTCCTTGTTCTTAGATTGATCACTTTGGATTTGATGAAAATCTTACATTCCAGCAGCGCTATCTAGTAGCAGATCAGCACTGGAAGAAAGACAATGGACCAATACTATTTTATACAGGCAATGAAGGAGACATCACGTGGTTCTGCAACAATACGGTATGTAGAAAATAGATTCTTGATTCTTGAATGACAGTCCTTCTTTCCACTAGTGGCCTACTGAAAAATAAGGAAGAGCAAGGACACGGTGTCAGAATATCATTTAAAGAGAAGTTTGTAATGGTCGTTATGATTGTTATAGGAGAAAGAAGAAGCTGAAAAAAAAAAAACCCACAGAAAAAGTTCTAGGGGGTTCAGGGTCCTATTCGAAGCCCATGGAAGTCAAAGGGATGCACTTGTATTAACTTCCTGGAGTAGTGAAGAAAAATTTCTAGAGGAAACACTATAAGGTGCCTCAAGCTAAGAATGTAGAATTTTGGACCAAATCACACCTATCCCAGTACTTTAGATTCCCCAAGTAAAATGGGAGGTTTTGATATTTTCTTTTGTTTTCTCCAGAAGAAAAATGTGAAGTGAAATGAAGGGGGCTGGAAACCTAAGATAGATGATTCTTGTTTTCTGACAAGATCTGTGGAAGCTTTTACTTCCCTGACTGATACAAATGCAGAATGGTGCGTGTGGGCATTTTTCAGCCACTTCAATACAAAGTCCAGTAATGCAACAGGAGGTGGCATGTGCTGGGCTCAAAGCAACCAAGGACTGCTTACACACTTTGTTCTGTCAGCAGGTGATCTCTGTCTGCCTGTTTCCATAACTGGTGGTAACAAGCTGCTGTCAACAAGTAATAACAAGTTGTAGTTATTTATTAGTTGAAAATACGTGTATTGCAATGCTCTAGATTATTGTTTATTGACAAGCAAATTTTGTTTTCTGTAATGCAGTCCTAACTCAAATGTTTGCTTTTCTCCTGTAGTGTTTTTTATTTCCTATGGATTAAGCTCGTGCTATAGGAGTTCTGGCAGGATTGCCTGTATACTGCTTAATAATTTGCAGCATTGACATATACATATTTTCTTTGTATGTGTCCCTGTCTCTGGGTGGATGTCTGGTTTGTGTGTTTTCTTACTTCGGTGGTACTTTAAAACCAAATTGCACTCTGTCTTTATAGTTCTATTTTGATAGTGATATCTTTCTAATCAAAGAATAAGAGTTGGAATACACTAGACTGAAAATAGAGACTTTGAAAATAATTGATTCAACTTATTTAAATGTCTGTTTTCTTCCAACCAGGGTTTTATGTGGGATGTGGCTGAAGAACTTAATGCCATGTTAGTATTTGCTGAACATAGATATTATGGAGAATCTTTGCCCTTTGGTAATGAGTCTTTCAGTGTAAGTGTCGTCTTTTGTCTTCCTTAACTGCGTTCTATACAAACATAATTCTGCCTATTGTAATGCTTGCCAGTGCAATGACTGTCAGCCTGAGTAAGATTTAGATGTGCTAGAAGCACACAACTATCCTATTTTTGTAATTATCAATTCTAGGATTAAAAAAATTATAATCTGAGATTTTTAGCACTTCAAGGGACACCTGCAAAGAATATTTCGTTTGTTATCAGGCACAGATTTAGAACTCAACAGCTGCTATGGGAAATAAAAGACTGCTGCTGGAAATCACTCCAGTGCTGTATATAACCTGCTTTCTTTGTCTCAGGATTCCAAGCATCTGAATTACCTGACGTCAGAACAAGCCCTGGCAGACTTCGCAGTACTGGTTGAGTACTTAAAGACGACCATTGCGGGAGCCCGTTACAGTCCTGTCATAGCTATAGGAGGATCTTATGGAGGAATGCTTGCAGCCTGGTTTAGGATGAAGTACCCCCATGTGGTAGTTGGGTGAGTGTACTCATCCTGCTCAAACACAGAGCAGCCATTTGTTACTTCTGTGCTATAAATATTACAGCAATGGGAGAAATACCGTAATTCAGGCTGGCTTGAATTTTTCACTATTGGGAGGAGGACTTAAGTTACCTTGAATTTGGGAAGAGGCACTGTTTGCCTACTAAAGACAACTGTAGGTCAGCAGGTACTGGATGGTGTATATTTTCAGAGCTATCTGTTTTGTAAAAACAATTATTATGAATATTGATTTTGCACCTAACTTTTTTAGCACCACCAGACTTCCTGGTGACTTGAGGCAGGTCTTTAATCTCTTCAGTGCCTTCATTCCAGGCTGGGAAACAAGATAAGTAAACAGAATCATAGAATGGTTTGGGTTGGAAGAGACCCTTAAAGGCCATCTAGTCCAACCCCCTGCAATGAGCAGGGACATCTACAACTAGATCACGTTGCTCAGAGCCCCGTCCAAACTGACCTTGAATGTTCCCAGGGATGGGGCATCTCCCACCTCTCTGGGCAACCTGTGCCAGTGTTTCAGCACCCTCAGTGTAATAAACTTCTTCCTTATATCTAGTCTGAATCTACCCTCTTTTAGTTTAAAACCATTACCCCTTGTCCTATCGCTATTGGCCCTGCTAAAAAGTCTGTCCCTACCTTTCTTATAAGCCTCCTTTAATTACTGAAAGGCTGCAATAAGGTCTCCCTGCAGCCTTCTCTTTTCCAGGCTGAACAACCCCAGCTCCCTCAGCCTGTCCTCATAGTAGAGGTGTTCCATCCCTCTGATCATTTTGGTGGCCTCCTCCGGCCCCGCTCCAACAGGTCCATGTCCTTCCTGTGCCGAGGACTCCAGGGCTGGACGCAGGGCTCCAGGGGGGTCTCACCGGAGCGGAGCAGAGGGGCAGAATCCCCTCCCTCGCCCTGCTGGCCACGCTGCTTTTGATGCAGCCCAGGATACGGTTGGCTTTCTTGGCTTTCCTGGCTCACGTCCAGCTTTTTGTCTATCAGTACCCCCAAATCCTTCTCCTCAGGGCTGCTCTCAATCCCTTCATCCCCCAGCTTGTATTGATACCAGGGGTTCACATGGGCCCACTTCTTGAGCTTGTCCAGGTCCCTCTGGATGGCATCTCATCCCTCAGATGTGTCAATCACACCTGCTAGAGAGTAAATTTTTGTGGTCAGGGGCTCTCTTCAGTTAAGGTTGCACAATGCCTAGTGAGAAAGACCTAGTTGCTAGATGAGAATGAAAAATAATGCAGTAAGCAAGTCTGAATTTCTACTTTATGTATTTACTGATATCTTTGTACTAGAGCCCAAGACTCATAACCTTCAACAGCCTTTGCATGCAGAATAGTTTTGCAACGTTATGGTTAGTTCACCTAGGGCTCAGTGTCCAAGATAATTATAAAAGCTACTCAGATAGTGGCTGTGGGGAGGGTATTGACAAGAGGATGGAAGTTCAGTTTGCAGGGGTTCAGGATGCATGGTTTTCCAAACAATCTTTTTATTCCCTTTGCAGAGCGCTGGCAGCCTCTGCCCCAATCTGGCAGTTTGGTGATTTGGTTCCATGTGGCACTTATTTCAGCATAGTGACTAATGATTTCAAAAAAAGTGGGACAGGCTGCTCAGAAAGCATCCGGAATTCCTGGAATGCCATTAACCACCTTTCTTCAACAGGTGAGACCTCAGCAATACTTCTTCAAAGGGTCGTAATTTTCAGGATTGTGTTATGGCTTCATAAAATCGAGTTTACGATATAGCTTTCCCCTGTATATGTATTGATTTTTTTGAAACTATACTCTTAATACTGAAAACTGTCAAATGATCTTAGCATTATTTTTTAAATGTCTGTTTTGTTGGATCACAAGCTTTGTTCATGCCTGGTGTGATTCAGAATCCAGGTCCAAACATCCCTAAGGTCAGACAGGAACTGACTCCCGATCAGAACCTCAAGGCTTGTATTCCTTTCTGACAAAGTAGGATAGTTGTTACTCTAAAAAAATAGTTTAAATACCAACAGAGGCAATCAGGTATAGAAAATTACTGCAATCCTTATGGATTCAGTGCTAGGGACTCAGTTGAACTCGATCTTAAGGGTCTTTTCCAACCTAAATGATTCTACAATTCTACAACTACCTGAAAGGAGGTTTTAGCGAGGTTGGTGTTGGTCTCTTTTCCCAGGTAGCAAGTGATAGGATGAGAGGAAACAGCCTCAAGTTGTGCCAGGGGAGGTTTAGATTGGATGTTAGAAAAAATTCCTTCAGTGAAAGGGTAGTCAGGCACTGGAACAGGCTGCCCAGGGAAATGGCTGAGTCCTTCATCCCTGGAGGTGTTTCAAAGACATGTAGATGTGGCGCTTAGGGACATGGTCTAGTGGTGGACTTGGCGGTGTTAGGTTAGTGGTTGGACTCGATGATCTTAAAGGTCCTTTCCAACCTAAACAATTCTATGATTCTATATCAGAGGAGTTCACTGTACAGCAAAGGAATTCAATTAAACAAAAATAATCTTGCTACTTGAGTTCAGTGTCCTATAAAGAAAGCCTAGTATGATGAGTTAGCTAAATAAAATTAGGGGAGCTGAATAGGACAAGTTCTAGACCAGATAAAATAATGAAAGGAAACACCAGGAGAGTCCCAGGAGATCTATCTATTAATAGTCCATGCACTGTCAGCTAGCTGGTTTGAAGTTTTCCTTTCATTGGAAGAAGACTGCCCTGATGTTACTTCCTATCAAAAAAATGCCAAATGGCTTGTAAATCTGTCTCTGTGTTTTTAGATAATGTTATTTTAGCTGTGACATACCCATACGCTGTAGTATGCAGGTTGTATTTTCCTTCACTTAGAGGTGATGACTAAAATTTGATCTGCTATGCTTGTATGTATGTGGAATAATTTCACCGGATTAGTTATGCTAAGTGAAATATGTCTTAGCAGCAGCACAACTGACCTATGTGTTAATGGTACAATACATTAAACATTATATTTTTTTTAATCAAAGATGCAGGTTTACAGTGGCTTTCCAGCACATTTCATTTGTGCAGCCCATTAAAAAATCTTCAGGATGCTGCTATATTGAAAAGCTGGCTGAGTGAAACATGGGTAAACTTGGCTATGGTGAACTATCCCTATAAAGCTGACTTCTTACAGCCTCTGCCAGCTTGGCCTATACAGGTAATTGAGAACCAATGTCTTGTAGAGTTGACCACTTGGTTTAACTAATTCTCTCCTTCTCTCCTAGTCTGCAACTTTTCCTTTATTTTTGGCTCTGTAGAACCAATATGGCTGAAAAAGAGAACCAGGGCAGTATCTTCTTGCGCATCAACTGGTTTGTTGACTGACTGCCACTTGTAGGGCTAATAGGTTGCATCAAGAGCCCAGAAGAAGAGTGCCAGGGATGACTGAAAAAACTCAGCTGTCCTGCTGAGTTGTTCTTGAGGAGCAGAAATGTTGCACAAAAAAGCAGATGCAATTAGAGCTTCTGATGCCAGGCTTAGCTGGCAGAGCTTGTAATTAAAGAGGAAGTTTTGGGCCTATGCCCTTATGATGTGGGAGACCTAGTGAGGGAGAAAATGTGGATCCCCATAAGCATATTCCTTGCAGGGTCACTTCTCAAAGCAGGACCACTTTTCACTCTTGCAAACTTTCGCCTGTGCAGTTCTGTTTATCTGCAGTGCTTTCTCCAAGATTTCTATTTTCTTGGAGTGTTTTTGTTCTTTTAAGACCCTGGCTGAATTTCCCTGCATGGCTTTGGGTTACTGTGTATGGCAGTGTAAGGTAGATAAAAATAATATTTTTCGCTATTAAACAGTAGTTAAATATAAAAGAAAAAATTTCCCTTGTGTAGAGTTGCCTGATGGAGGAGGGGAGGAACATTGATCCGTCCGATGTGACTGTCTGCAACGGGCAGCATGAACCCCTTGAAAATTATTTTTGCCTTGTTACCAATCTGACACAACCTAAAAAATGTGCTCATCTTCACCACTGTCCATGCTCTCTCTCTTTGACTGAGGTATAAACCTAAAATAGAAAAGGCTGCGGCTTGTCTGGACAATGCTGATGTATGAAATCTGAGTTAAGCTGTTCAGGTACTTTTTTTGAAAGAGAAGCTCTAAGCTGACTCTGAGGGTGAGAAGGGGGGAAAATGTGCTTGAGTAGCTGGATATATGTGTGTTGCTTTATCTGTTCTCTGTTGTGGGCTGCCAGTACTATCTCAGAATGTTGATTTCTGTCTCTGCTATGCAATCTGAGCTTCAGATATGGGGCTGTCTGCAGCCCTCTGCTATCCGTCTGCAGTGTATATTTGCATGAATTAGTGAGCTTTCCAAACCTCTAATTGCCGAGTTAAGAACTGATGGCTGAGCTAGCCAAACCATAAAACCTACTTGGAATGGCAAAACGTGGAAGCTGTGCTCTGACGTTGTCTGTAGGGAACAAGGGAGGGATCCGTTTCCTAGCTACCACAATGAAAATGAGGGAAAAGAATATGCAGGGGAGGGAAGGAGAGTAAGTTAATTTCTTGGAAGAGGCACAGTTTGCAGTGGCCCTGAGTTGTCCCTGTGTGCCTGTGCCCCGTACTTAAGCAGCGTTGGAGCTGCAGTGCAGCCTTTGCTCCCTGCAGACAGTAACGCTGGATTCTCCCGATTTACAGCTTTCACCCTGCACTGTTCTTGTATTAGTCCCAACTCAATGGGAGCAGGGGTAGGGAGAAAGCCTTGGCAAAGAGAATATTGTCACTTTAAAAAAAAAACGTTTAAAGATGAAAAAAACTTTCGAGGGCAGTAGCTCTTGTGTTTTCTGTTTGTTTGGTTTTTTCCTCTACTGTATCCTCAGTTAAGATTTTGAATTAAACTCTACCAGAGATTGTTCTTATTTTTTCACTGGTGAAACAGTGCCTTGTTCCACAACCTCATATTTTCTGAACACAAAATAGTAAGAATTTTGCAATGCTGCTGTATAAAAGGACTTCAAAATATTAGAGCTTTATTTACATGGATGTTTCCATTTGTACTACAGCAAACTGCAGGGAACCCCAATCTATTCCTGGAGCTTCTTTGTTATATATTTGCATGTCTTATCTTTCATTACAAAGGAACTAAATACTCTTCATTAAGTATTATCTGTTTTAAAGAATGGGAAATGGATTGAAAAACTTGGTGAATGAAATATTAAGGTTGCACTGCTTTTAAAGTTTTAATCAGGAAATGTAAAGTTTGATTAGCATGTGCTACACAAATAGAATATTGCTTTTTATGATAATACTGAGGGTATATTATTGCATAGAAAGATGCTTTCTGGAAGTGGTCTTGACAGTACTTTGCAAAGGAATTGATACCCTATCAGGTATCATGTATTAATCTTTATTTCTTGCAGATTTAGACGCCTCCCCTCCCCTTTCTCTCTTTGTTGCAGGAAGTCTGCAAGTTCTTGAAGGATCCCAGTCTCTCTGACAAATTGTTGCTGCAGAATGTTTTTCAGGCAGTAAATTTATACTACAATTATTCAGGAGAAGCCTCATGCTTAGACATGTCTGAGACCGCAACAAAGAATCTGGGCCAGTTGGGTTGGTACTATCAGGTATGCGCTCTGTCCTTTCTAAATTGCAACTTGGTGAGGTTTTTTTGGGCTAGAGCTTTTGAGAATTGTTAAGTCATTTAACTGTAAATATATTGCACCAGATGTAATTGATGTACTGATGACAAATGTAAGCATGAAGCAAGTATGATTGTAGTGGGGAGGGCAAGGCACAAAAGAGAAGCGGCTTTCCCAGGAGTTTTAGGTGGTGTCTTCATTATCTAGCTAATTGAGTTTCAGCTCTTCATATAGACTGGAAAATGATGTGCATCAGCAGCATCTTGGTCTTCTAATGCTCCCATCCCAGCCGTCTACCCCAATTTGTGCATGCAAATATGTCAGGATATGTTGATACTGATTTCTTTCAACTAAAGCTGTTTATCCTGTGGCTCACGGAGACCCAACCTTTCCCGTCAAGTAGGTAACAAAAACGCAGATCCCTGGGGTCAGGGGTCCAGGACATTCTGCTCTCCCATTTACTAAGCACATGCAACAGTTATATACAGTCTCTCTTCTGGGGAGCAGGGCAGCTGCTTTCAGAAGCAAAGTGTTAAGAATTGGTGTTCTGGTTGTGACCGTCTGCTCTTGGCTACTGTCTCCTATGTGTTTGTTCTGGACAGCCCCAGGAGATGTGCAGGTGTTGTAAAGTTGTCCTCTGAGAAAGGGGGGAAATGCCATATGGGTAACAAAGAATATGGCAGGCTGGGCTGATCAAAACAACACATCCACTCTGCAGTGTGTTCCCTGCCTGCTTCTTGAAAGCATGTGGGAAGGGAGCAAGTAGGAACAAACTGTGAGTTAAGATTAATTGCCATGGTGGGGGCTATATTGCATCCAGGATATAATTTGTTTTTCTTTTTTAGCTAATGTCACTAAGATGTCGGAGGATACTTAGTGTGAAAGATGAAATTTTTGCTTGGTTATCTGTGTTCTGGCCCACCTACAAGAAGGGCCGGAAGGAGGATCCAGGGAGCTACGGGCCTGTCAGTCTGACCTCGGTGCCAGGCAAGGTTATGGAGTGGATCATCCTGAGTGCCATCACATGGCACATACAGGACAACCAGGGGATCAGGCCCAGTCAGCATGGGTTATGAAAGGCAGGTCCTGCTTCACGATCTCCTATGACAGTGACCCACTTAGTGGATGAGGGGAAGGCTGTGGATGTTGTCTATGTGGACTTTAGTAAAGCCTTTGACACTGTTTCCCACAGCATTCTCCTGGGGAAACTGGCTGCTGATGGCTTGGATGGGCGTACTCTTCGCTGGGTAAAAAACTGGCTGGATGGCCAGGCCCAAAGAGTTGTGGTGAAAGGAGGTCAATCCAGTTGATGGCCAGTCACAAGTGGTGTTCCCCAGGGCTCAGTACTGGGGCCAGTTCTGTTTAACATCTTTATCAATGATCTGGATGAGGGGATTGAGTGCACCCTCAGTAAGTTTGCAGATGACACCAGGTCAGGTGGAAGTGTTGATCTGCTGGAGGGTAGGAAGGCCCTGCAGAGGGACCTGGACAGGCTGGATCGATGGGCTGAGGCCAGCTGTATGAGGTTCAACAAGGCTCAGTGCCAGGTCCTGCACTTGAGTCACAACAACCCCATGCAACGCTACAGGCTGGGGGAGGAGTGGCTGGAGAGCTGCCTGAAGGAAAAGGACCTGGGCGTGTCATTCAGCTGGCTGAATATGAGGTGGCAGTGTGCCCAGGTGGCCAAGAAGGCCAATAGCATCCTGGCTTGTATCAGGAATAGTGTGGCCAGCAGGACCAGGGAGGTGATAGTGCCCCTGTACTTGGCACTGGTGAGGCTGCACCTTGAGTACTGTGTTCAGTGTTGGGCCCCTCACTCCAAGAAGGACATCGAGGTGCTGGAGCGTGTCCAGAGAAGGGCAACGAAGTTGGTGAAGGGTCTGGAGCAC